AATATTCGGATGCTTGCATTCTGACAAAATGTCTATCTCGATCATAAAATCACTAAGATCGTCCTCTCCCTCCAATGCACACATTTTTGCAGCGGCAAGCTGATTGGACAGCTTGTGTTGTGCCTAGAGTAACAATTGTTTAAAGAAGACGTTAAGAACAAGCAAACTTGATATCCTAGAATTCTTTAAAATGCTACATTACCTTATAAACTTTACCAAACGCACCATCTCCCAGTTCACCCACCATTTCCCAAAACTCTTCCGGATTGCAGTCCATCTTGATGTTATTGTACAACTTTTTCTTCTTCGCATCATTGCCACCAAAGTGGAAGGCCTTCTTCAAATTCGACAAGAACGACATTTTGATAGATATATCTTGATATATTCACACGTGTGCTCAAACTCGGACTACTATTGCAATTTGAACACACTGAAAAAACTCTTAACAACACTTTCCGCTGTACAAAATGTAATCATTAACAACTGTGTATTAAATTTGTAAAATATAACTCTAGTTGATGCTCAAAAGAGCTTAGTAACCATTTCGTAGCACTGTAATGTGTGGTAAAACAATGTCACTTTACGTAGTCTCCGCATTATTTTAATATCTATTGAATTATATAAGATGAGTTCTTCAAGCGCAGGGGTGTTACTTTCTTTAGATCCCTGCTGGATACCAGGGGATCGTGCCACACCACTCCCGCATCTTTGTAAACTCTAAGCCGCACTTCCTAATCGATTATCGTTGCGCTCAAACTACTGTGGGCACAGAGAAAAACAATGCGATCCATTGCTGACAATCTCCAATAATTAGACACGCAGGAAATATCGAATCAAGGTCTGAAACAAAAGAATACAATTTATTATTTATTATCAATTATTATACTTGCAATTCTATTCAATTTGTTTTGTTAATATTTTAACGTTCGGATTCTTCAAAATACCGAAGTTGAAGAGAGAACACATCTTTTTTTCAATTTTGCTATAATGTACATGCTTTGTTTGTAATATATTTCAACGAATAACATAGAAATTTCATTACACAGAAAACTAGGAACAAAATCAGCGTCCTGTTAAACAAGATGTTCACTTTAAAGTTGGCTTGAAACTAGAAATTATGTATAAAATCTTAATGTGTGTCGTGTGCTAAGTGCTTTTTAACAAGAATCAAGTATGAGACGTATTACGCGGATGTACAAATAAATTACAGAGGCAAAAGATAAGAGACATAAGAGAACACTGATATCGTTGATAAGCTTAAAAAAGAAAAAAAAATTGCTATCTGCAGTATTATCAAGGAATTCGTAGTAAAACGCCAAACAATTAACAATAAACACTGAAAATTCGAATTCTCGGCGGTCCACCGAATGCCCTTCTCTGCGATATTTGCAACTACATTTTTTAATTTGAAAACGAGTGTTGTTATCGTTATTGTTCCACAAATAAAATATATGATAAAAAAATCAGCGCAACGATAATGTAACGATAACGACACTGTCATTAAGAATTAAGCCTAAGACGCAATTAAAAAGCACAGGCAATGGAAACAGGAGATAACAGATTTGAACTTATAGCCTAAGATATAATTAAAACACAGAGGTGTAACTGGGAATAACAAATTTCAACTTATCAGACCATGATATTTTGGTATATACAGTTTCAAGTAGAAACCGTATTCCCTGTTTTATCACTTGTGTTTTTCAATTGGACATTAGGCTTATCAGAAGCCATGAATTCTGATAAACACAATTTCTGATAGGTTGAAATCTATTATTCTTCTTATTTCTTCTCCCTATTATTTTTCAATTGTGTCTCAGACAATACAGAATATAGCTTTTGGTCCTTTAATTTTCAGGTGGAAGACGTTTTGAAGACCGGATTTTCGCAACAAACGGAACGCCAACACACACTTCTACAAAGTTTTCTTTCAAAGGGAAGGAAGAGGCCAATCGGAAAGTCAAAGGCGAACGCAGCGGTGATTGCAAAGTGATGCCCTACTCGCAGAAGCATCCTGCGTGTGGGCAGCGAGACTTGCAAAACGTCCGGTGGATTCGCGGGCGCGACAGCAAATTCAATTAGGCGTTAATCGGAATTACTGTTGCGTATCGCGACGAGTCCCCGTCTCGCGATATAATCTTTTTTAGCATGGCACGCGAAACGATCGTCTCCCACCTCTCTCCCTAATAGAAATTTCACACTGGAAAGTAGCGATTATTTGTTTTTACTACATTTCAGTATTAAATTGTCGCTTAAAGAATGTGATTTGCGGCTCATCTCTATGTATACATCGTTAAATGTCAACGTTTCAAGCATTATTCTTAATGCCCGTTTCCAGCAATGTAGATTAACTTTAATCTCGGTTCAACTTTTACTCTTTGTCTTTTTCTAGAGATTAGAAAAAGAGGAATAGTAAGTTGAACTGAGATTAAAGTTAATTTACATTGGTGGAAATGAGCATAAGATATTCTGAAATTTAAAAAGTTAAATAAAAGTTAAATAAAAGAGTACGTCAGGCAAATGAGAGGGGCAGTCAGTAGGCAATTAAAATCTATAATTATCAATTGTGCTCGATTAACATTTCGGCTTACTTTTGATGAACATTAATGCCCGTTTCTAATGTAGTTTCAATGTAGTTTAATTTTAATTTTGGTTCAATAAACTTCATCTTTATCTAGTTCTAAAAATTAAAAAAAGAATAGTAAGTTGAACCAAGAATTAAAGTTCTACATTGATAGAAACGGGCATAAATTGAATTTTTGAAAGGGCTTTAATTGATAGTCGCCCTCGATCGCGTATACTTGTGTAAATGTGAGGGACAATAAGAAATCGTGAAAAAATTGCTAGAGAGAGAGAGAGAGAGAGAGAGAGAGAGAGAGAGAGAGAGAGCGCGCGCGCGCGCGAATTGTCGACAGGTGTTGACGCTCGGTCACGCGGCTTGACCAGGCTTGACACAATTTTGACAAGTGACCTTAGGTCACGTCCGTACCGTTGCCAATGCAGCCAACGTGCCAGGTGGTACAGTTGTATGGAAATCTGACTTTTCGGGAATCCTGGCTGGCAGAGATCCGTCTCGTCCCCCTGTCGTCCGTCTTGAAAAAGCGGTTAGAGCTCCTCTCGCACGAACACGCCCCGACACGCCGCGCATGGGAAATCGAGCTCAATCGGACGATGCACGGCCGTTCACGCGTGAACGACCGAGAGATAGCCGTCGTCGTCGCCGACGATGACGATGTTCGGGACGGGCAGCCGAGATCACGTAGGACAACGTCGAACTTGTACCCGTCTCGTAGAGACTAGACTGTTTCGCGGGTGCGCCTTCTCTCTCTCTCTCTCTCTTTCTCTCTCTTTCCGCATTGCCTACCTGTGACACTCTCTCTCTCCCCTGCCACGGTCGAGATATGTACGCGGATGACTTCATTCCACGCGTATAGAAAGTGCAGGAAGGTGCATTTAGAACGGTGCTGTCCAAAATACGTAATTTCACTGACATTGACTTGATGTGTGTCGACGTTCACGCCTATTGCTTTTCTTTCTTTCTTTCTATTTCTATTTGTTTCCATTACGGAAAAAAGTAAGATATGAACACCTATATGTGTCAAGCTCTCGATCAAGTCAATGTCCACGTTTACAAATCTTCGACAGCTATTCCACGTGAACAGGGAGAGAATAAAAGCACCGTCGCGCTCATTTCAGGCGAGACGGTCAGATGGTAGTGAACATGGTAGTGAATACGCGTGGCTCGCGTGCAACTTCAGGGCGGACGAGCGGCCGTCCGTCATCTACACGAGAAACTTTTGAGGACGTTTCTCTCGGAAGGAGAAGCAGCGCTCGCAGTTATGTCACTTTTGGTCACTCTATCGCTTACCTGCGATCGGTGACAGGATGGTCTAGTATTGAAATCTTGGACACAACGACCGTCTTCTCCTCCTCCTCCTCCTCCTCTTCCCCGCGTTTTGCCACTGCGAAATCCACCGGAATGTAGCCGATAGCTGGTCGACTGTGCGTCCTGTTTCACGGAATCTGTTCATGGGAGAGAAACAGAAGGCTGGAGCGATGACACTGAATAGTAAATACACACGTGAGTGCAGATTGCGTTCTGTCGCGATCCACACAGGAGTCTATTTTTCGCGGAGATCGGCAATCTCTACGGCAAAGCTGTCCGCATACACGGCCATTTTCAACCTACTGCTCACTATCACGTTTGCACGATCGCACTCACGCATGCACGCATGCACGTACACACGTAAGCCACGAGAGAGCGAGCAAACCTCTCATGCGTACACGAGACGCGCTTCACCGCGTTTGGACTGCGTTCAGAAACTTTACTAGATGCATCCACGGAATAAGGGCCTGCGCACAATTGTCTAGTTTACATCATGCACTTGATACACGTACTAACTAGTAACTTTCTATTAAATTATTTCAATTTCAGCGATGTGTTCAAAGAATGATGTACTAAATTGATACAATATGTATCAAAATGATTAATTAAGTACACATATCGTATATATGTTTACACGTATCGCCGAAATTAGGATCATTCAATAGAAAGTTACTAGTTAGTATTCGTATCAAGTGCATGATGTAAATTAGTTGGATTGAGTTCAACTTTTGTCGCGCGGTGGAAATTATATTGGGTCATCTAAAAAGTATTTTCGGTACTTTGTCACTAGATATATGACCATCAACATACATCTAGTGACAAAAAACCGCGGATACTTTTTAGATGATCCAATATATCTATTACTTCCGAGCAAGCAAGACGTTGATTGGCCAATTTTTGTCGCGCGGCAAGCATTGCCGCGTTCTGTATGCAGGAGACATAAGAAATTTCAACCTATCAAAAAATATTGGTCGCGTTTAGGGTCATTTTCAACAAGCTCCAATTAACTTAACGGGCCTAGTAACTTTGTAAGATTCTAACTCTGGTACTTGAGTATCATTTTATCCTTGTTATCACTTGTTATTTACCGAATGTAAACAAGGATGACATGACATCCTGAAGACACTCAGATGAGAATCCGAACACTCCTTTGATAAAAGAAGAGAAAGTACTAATTCTAACCTAAAAAAAAGTCATCAGTTTTATATACATCAAACGGTACGTGAAATGATAATTGATTAGAAGTTACGTAAAATTATAAAATTTTTTTGAAAAAACTGTAACGTAGCTACTTGTTTTACTCGAGATTATCCACGTTAAACAGAGCTATTTTTTAGGTTATCTGTTAATTATCAAATTATAGTCGGAGTTATTATAAGATCTTCTCAATATTTTCTCGACATTTCATTATGTATATTAAATGTATTTTACGTGTTCAAGATATAATCATTCTCTTTATTTATAGTATAGTGTTAACATGGCCAAAGAGCGTGGCGTCTTGAAAATAATTTGGAACAGTTTTGTATCCTCGCTGAAACCTCGCTTCGCCCGCCGCAAATTGATTGGCGAGGATTATTTTGGCACGAAATACTATGAGGAAGATATTCGTTATTCCGCCCGGAAAAGGCCACCACGATATTTCATTCCAGTGAATAAGGAAGACTTTGAACAAGAGTTACCCGCGGAGTGGGAAGCCTGGTTGAGATATCGTAGAAAAGAACCACCCACGCGAGAGGAAATAGAAGCTAATTATCAATTGGCAATAACTAAGAAGAAGAATGCAGCGAAGCTTTTAAATGAGAATCGCTCAAAAAATGATACCACTAATCTTCCCACATCATCCACTACTCAGACAACTACTCCGGGAAATTTTCCAGTCTATGAAGATATAAAAGGTTTTGGTAGTGATCATAAACCGAAGGATTCATACAAAGAATAATAATAAATAAATAAATAAAGAATAAAACAATAAAAAATTTGATGAAATTTCTAAAGAATAGTTTTAAAGAATTGTTCAGCAAAAATTGTTTGCCATTGATAATGGAAAATTGATTGTAGGATTCTATCTGAAATTTTTAAATTTTTTTGTTACTGGATTGTATCAGAGAGCAATCTGAAAGCAGCCATTCCAGCCTTTTTCTGGAAACTCTTGAAACCCTATATATCAGTACATCAACATCCATTTTTAGTAATATGGAGATTGGTATTAGGTATCACATCTATTTTATCAAACTATCGATAAAATTATAGTATCGAACATGGATGTGATCCACAGATACACAGTAGTGTATCTATGCTAATAAGAGAACAAATATAGCGCGACTAAGGCTAAGTTTCACAACTCACAGTTAACCGAGGTTCAACTTATTTTTCATCTCTTTCCAATTTCAACATTAGAAAGAGACGAGGAATAAGTTGAATCTCGGTTAAGAGTTAACCATGAGTTGTGAAAGCAGGCCTAATAGGCATTCAGCAACTCAATAGTTAAATGACACTGTTATTGGTGTAGTCTTGTGGATTATCCAATCAGACTTTAGATTTAGAAGCATACATTAAGCAGTAAACATTCACTCAACTGTTAAGTTCATTGAATGTGCTCAGTTACAACTCTGCAATCATTACTCTGCTTTCTTTTCTGCCGTTGTGATTGATTGTGTTATTCCGTTCAATTTATAATTAGTACAATAAAAATACAACAAATAATTGTAAATTTGTTTCTTCTATGGAAAAAAATTTCTAAAAACATCCTATTTCCTTTTAAATCGAATATCCTCTTATGTCTAAGATCTATGAAGAAAACTAGAATGATTAAAATTGATTGAAGAATTCTTAGGATATTAAATTGTTAAGCTTTAAGCGAGTCACTCTATATATGTAAAATGATTTATTATTAATGTCTATCTTTTCCTATACATGTAAATTAAGATCTATCGCTTTCATATACAATCATTCTCGACAAAATTATAACAAAGGTACTATATACTGGATAAATATACGAAATATTTGTCTCAAGATACTACGATCCTAGTTTGCAATTGCGGTCCGTGATATGAAACTAATGACGTACGAAATAGGATATAAAGTTCCGTTTTACATGGAGAAAGGAAGAATTAAATGAATGTAAGACATTCTAAATCACATTTGGTAAATTTGAATCGCTTCCTGTTTGCGCTGTGCAGTTCGTGTCTTGAGGCCTATTCTTTTTAGTTGAACTTTTGCATCAGTTCTTTCTTTCTCCTCTTTCTTCCTGGAGAAAAAGAAAAAAGATGAACTGGTGCAAAAATTCAGCTAAAAAGAACAAATCTTTGATCACTATAAATTAGTGTAGTACGATTAGCACCGTGAATCGCGTGTACTTTTGACTTCAACATGTGACTCTGAGATTTCATTATAAATAGTAGCTTAAACAACGAAGATCAAGCAATCAGTCAACATTAAATTTTGTCTCTTACACGAATTTAATTGACAAAAACTTAATATATACCAAATGAGAGCATTGTGCTCAACCAGAAAAATCACTATTGTCAAATAGAGCTTGATCATATAGCTCTCCTTTAACCAGTCGTCCGCCGAAATAACGACCGTTTAGTGAATCTCTTGCACGTTCTGCTTCTGAAAACATAAAAATTAATCCAATAATTACATGATACATAAATTTGTAATATGTACAGAATATATTGCAGTGTAATTTAGACTATTCAAATACTTAGGCGAGAGTTTAATCAATTTACGATACTATATATAAGGTAAATGTCTCAATAACTAATGCCAGGTTCAATATAGATTAACTTTAATCTCAGTTTAACTTATTCTTTATCTTTTTCTTATTCTTAAAATTAGAAAAAGATAAAGAGTTAATTGAACCAAGATTAAAGTTAAATTGCAGTGGTAGAAACGGGCATAAATGTGCCCATTACAAGTATAATGTTAATGGAAAAATCAACAATATATTTATAATTATTAAGATATCAATAATAAGATATCAATAATTAAGATATCAATAATAACAAGAAACTAAACTAAAAAGAGGTTAAATATTTTGTATCAAAATAGTTAATAATTAATAAAAATTATTAATAAAAATATTATTTTCTGACTGCAAATTATTGCAAAAAAATTTTATATTTCGCAGGAACAGTCATATTTTCACTTTTCTTATCATTTTTAATAAGACATAGTCTATATTTTCAAATTTTTTTAAATATTGTACTATATAAGAACATCAGTCTAAGGCTTATGTCACTAAATGGAAAGCATCTAATATTGAGTGAATTGGCCATGTTATTTGTCTTATCGACATATACACCACCTATTATTATTGCATGTAATTGTAGATAAAAACATAAGAAAATGTTTTTGCTTGATAACGCAAAAATAAATTATAATTATATCGTAGTTTACTGCAATCAGATAGTGCAACTGTATATAATATGTACACAAAGTGTGTTAATTCCTTTTGCCATTAATTAATATCAATACAAATATAGGATTGATTACTAGTTTTTATTAGTTCAGTCATTGAGATATTTATCACCGAGACATAAAGATATACTTTACCATTCATTTCAGCGAATTCGACGAATATCTTTACGATGACTTCCGCGTTTTCATCGTCCTCGGACTGTCTCTCTTTATAAATGATAACTCGTACAACCACACCGAACTTAGAGCACTCGTCCTGAATTTCCTCCTGTAGGGTCTCGTCCACATCCTCCGGTGCTACCATATTTCTTAAAATAACGACTCGAGATTCGACTTTACGCATAAGCTTTTGCATTACGAGATGACGCGCGCTCTGCCCCTTAATTGACATATTTTCTTGTTGCTGCAATGTCTGCGGTTCCGTTTCTTCTAAAAGTTTCTTCTGTAATTCTTCCTGTTGTTTTTGATGAGCCGCTTGTTCCTGTGCTCGCCTCATAATGTCGGAATTTGCGGTGGTTGTAACTGGTATCTAACAAGCAATCAGATTTTTCATAATTAACACATTGACGATTCAATATTTTTTTTATTTTAATACTTTTTATTCTAATACATTGGATACTTACAACTGGTGTGCCGACAATCGTAGGCGCGACAACAGCGGGAGGTGGTATGACAACCGGTTGGCCAGGAATCGGTTGGATAATAGCGGGCGGTCGTGTTAAGGTTTGCGGTATAGCTATGCCAGGTGGAGGTATCACTGGTGCTACCGTTGCTACCGTTGGTGGTGCCATTATTGTTGTGGGCGCTATAGTAGGTCGCACTACACCTACAGGAAGTGCTATAATAGAAATAAATAGTGATAAACACATAAAAATAATTCTTCTTTTGCAATGTTTGGATTCAGTGTAGATGCAAGAATTATGAATATACGAACTTTGATTCAAGATTGGTGGTGCAGTAGCTCCAAGTTTAGTAAGACCTAACGCGACGGCATTACTGGCAACTGCGTCCATCGCTTGAATTTTTGCTGTTGCAGCTGCTGCAGCCACCGCGGCTGCGGTTGGCATCATACTGGTACCACTAGGTGGTCCCATGAGTGCATTCGGTGGTGTTATAGCTCTGCCTACTCTCAAATACTGACCACCCAGATCGAACAAGTTCATGGAGGCGATAGCTTCCAGCGCAGCCTGCATTGTCTCATACTCGATGAAACCGTAACCCTTATGTCGATGTGGAGAACTGCCTTGTGCAAGTTTGCAATACGTGATTGGCCCGAACGCCTCAAAAACTGACTTGATGTCATCTTCCGTCAAATCTTGATGTATTGATGCGATATAAATGCGATTATAATGTTTGCTTTCCTCGGTGATCTCGTCAATCACCGATTGTGCTTGTGGCATATTGGACGGACGTCCCACGACCTGAGGTAAGTAAATATAAGAAAAAAGATAATTTATAAGATATATTCTCTAACGTTGCGTTAATATTATTGCAAAATTATTCGTTAAATAAATATATCGCCACTTATTTCAAAAGTAACAATTAAAAAAACACGATTTTCGAGTTATTACATAACATAATTATATATAATCGTTATAATTGAGTTAGTTTACTTTTGATTGACATTACTCTGTCAAAAGTAAGCTAATTCAATTTCATAATAAATTATTACATTTGAAATATTTTTTTAAATCAAAATCGTCACAATTTTAAAAGAACAATTTTTTTAAATGACATTTCATCATGTTAAGAATATTTTTTGCTGATATTATTTGATTAATCAATAATTTTTGTAAAATTAAAAAAGAATTTTTCCTCTTTTCTGAGAAATTTAATTTTTTGAATTGTATAGCTTTTGGAGTAAGGAAGCGATATAATATATAGAACATGTGTAATGGGATGTAACTTAATAAATAAATGAAAAACTCGAAGTAATGTATACGTAGCAAAAGTATACTAATGAAATAAGATTTTCAAGCAAATTGCAGTTAAGATGCAGTTCGCTCGAAAATCATAGGTATTGGATAAAGGACTAAATAAAAATTTGCCGACCTCCGGCGGGATGATAGGATTGCTGGGGGACAGGAAATTCGTTATATAGGTACGTCCTGCTACCTTGATGTTGCGGCCACCGATCATGACACCGTTCATTTGCTCCAAAGCAAGTTGCGCGGCTTCGGGTATCTCGTATTCAACAAAGGCGAAGCCCTTGTGTTTCTGCGTAACGGGATCCCAAGACATATTGATGGACTTGATCGGTCCGAATGGCAAGAAAGCTTGCCTGATTGTATCTTCTTTCAATTCAAAACTGATGCTGCCCACATAAACCCTGTCATACAATAATAAATGTTATTAATATGAATGTTATTTAATGCAACTATATTTAATATAATGTACGTAACTATTTTCTTGTTCTAACGATATATATAACTTTATTCAAACTTTCATATCAATCACTTGTATTAGAATTGTCATGTGCATTTAAAAATTTTTAACCCTTCGTTATTAAGGATCCATGAGACCCTAAAAAAAATTTAAGGATTTATATTTTTAAAAAGTTATTTTATATATAAAAGTCATTTATTCTTATACTAAAGAAATATTCTTTTATACAATAACTTCACACTTCATTATTAGAAAAAAAAACAGTCTCCTATAGAATAAATCCTTTTTTAGGATGAACGCGGACTATTGAACCATTTTTTTCTTAAAAGTGTCATATCTGTAGAGTATAGTCAATTTTTATCAAAAAATATTAAACACTAAAAAAGTTATGATTTTGCTTTTAATATAAAAGCGCATTTTTCAAGTTTTATTTTGCGATTTTTTTAACATGTTAAAATCAAAATCTTTAAAAAGCCACGCATTTCCATGTTCTATAATGTTTAAAGTATGTTTAATAATTTTTTAAAGAATAAAAGTTGTAAATATGGTAATCAATTAAAAATGTTAGCGTCATTTTGTCTTCTGTGTGACCGATTCAAAATTCTCAGAAGGTGTGACCACGAAGGATTAAAAGCATATTTAATTTAGATTATTAATATTACACATATTTAGATTTATTAACATTATTAATATTATACATATCTAGAACATTAAAATACATTTATCCATTGTTAATATAACAATTACGCAATAATGTTAATAACTGATATTAGTAAAACACGTTCAAAGATTGTTACATATATACATATATGTATATATATTAATAATTTTATAAAATCTATAAAAAATATGTACGTATATATTGTATATAGAAATAAAATTCTACAAGTGATTGATAAAAAT